TTTTTCTCTTTAATTTTACTCTCATTGATTGTTGTTGTTAAGCACTTTGATAACAGGTTCTGTTTTAAATGTGCTCTATAAATAAAGTTCACTTGACTTGACCTCTTGTGTGGATGTTGCGATTGCGCCTCTCTTCTTCACTCATGTCTTTGAGAGCACAGTAGGTGGGATTGAAGGTGAGGAGTTTTGGTGAGCGAGGCTTGCAGAACGGCTGGCACAGCTTCAACAAAGCTGCACCCAGGTTTAAAAAAAATGCATCTGAGGCGTACATCTGGAAGAAGATCTCTGGCATCTGATTGGCCCAGATCTTGGCTCGACCAGCGTTAGCCTGCAGACAGTTGCCCAACCACGTGAGCAGCAAGTGGCGAGTCTCACCAGATCGCTGTAGAAGGTTTTTTAAGATCTGGTGCAGCTTGTCTTGAAACTGCTCCATGAACTATGACACAGAGAAGGTAGAGAGAATGTGTGTCGAGACATTAATACCAGTAGATATGCTATGGCTCCAATCAAAACAGACAAACGACAATGAAATGGAAAACTAAAAAGGTCCATATACTTGATGAATGTTGGCCTCCTGGACCTTTGTCTCCTGGGCACTTGAACGAGAGGGGTTCAGGAAGTAGCCATGGCCCTCTACAACACCTGGGGTTTTCAGCAGGCAGGATATATTGAAAATAGTCCCCAGCAGACTATTTTGATACTGCAAACCATTAGCTGGGTCTCTGGGCTGTGTGTGTTCTACCAACACCTAAAAAAATAAAGGAAATGCTAGGTTTAAAAGATGATGCACTAAAATAGGAAACATAAAATGTGAAAAGAAACTGAAATGCTATTAAACTGCTGTCTATTTATTTTGTATTATTCAATAGCAATGAGTGCAGAAATTGTTTTCTTGTGACAGATGCTTGTCCCCTCACCTTGGCTATATCTTTATGGTGGCTGAAATAGAGGAAAACATCGAGGTAAAAGTAGAGACGAGGCTGACACAGCTCCAAGTCTTTGATGCGCCCCTGAAGGATATCTAAAACTGGAACCATCACCTCTTCAAACGTGCGCACCTCTTGGTCAGAGAGCAGGCCAGCAATGACTTCCTCTACAAATTCAACCACTTCCTCTGGATCTAAAACACAGTGACTTAGTAAGGGGGAAATAATATATGTGTGTATAGAATGTTCCATCCGGAAGATGCAAAGACAAAAGGAAAAGGGAGAGAGAAAAGAAAACCAGAAAAGGAAATATTCAGGCCCTACAGGCCTGAAAATTTCAGGCAATATTACAGGCAATGGTAAAGTTAATTATTTATTGGCGGTTAGCAAAGCTAACTTTTTGTTTAGCTGTGCCCACCATTGCATCTGCATAATTCTGATAGTTTATATCGCGTTTCTGAATGACATGTACAGGTGGAAGCATACAATGATTGAAAAAGAAGTGGGCCAAGAATTAAACCTTGAGGTACACCACTGGCAACATATGATTTGTCAGAATTAAAATCATCAATTGATAAAACAGAACAATTTGTCCCTAAAATATGATGGAAACCAGGTAAGAACTGGACCAGAGAAGCCAACGTACTTTTGTAATATTTCTAACAAGACATAGGACATACGTGCTCCTTGGAAACTGTCCAGCAGCAGGTCCAGAAGCTGCTCATAAACACTTTGGTTGATGTAGATCTCGGGGGTGAGCAGGACTGTTCGAGTGTTAGACACTGACAGGTTCTTGCAGCGAACAGCAAAGGAAAGTAACTTCTCAGGCACCTTTGTCACCTGGTGCATAGATTGAAAATAGAGCTGTTCCATCATTGCAGAAAATTGGTGTACTCATCACTATTTAAAACCACAAGGATTCAGAAAGTCCCTGTAATTAGGAGCCATAAATAAATAGTATAGAGAAAAAAAATAAAATTACCTCCTCCTTCGCCCTCTGGTAACAAGCAAAAAGATAAGGGATGGCACATTTTTCTCCAGCATCGCGGTCAGCAGACAGGTTCACTGCGCTGCATGATGTCATATAAATGAGGTGGTTTCCTGGCTCCAACAGCAGCAGGCGGTTAAACAAAACCTGAAGGACAAAAAGGAAACATCACAGACACACATCAGTTCAGAACGTTTGATTCCTTTGCCCTAAACTAAAACACACAGCTTGTAATTTCTGTTTAAAGCTTGACCAGACATCATCCCTTGTGTTAGACATTTTGTGGTGCATTCAACTTAAAGAAATACAGAAACAGAGCTACATAAAAAGCATGTTAATGTTTAACCTGCTCGATGTTGTCCATGTCCAACCAGTCCTGTCCATCCAGATCCGCAGCCATTTCCTCCAGGTAAACACAGCGGGGAGGGATCCCATTACCTCCTCTTAAACTGGGATCACCTAGGGTATAAAAAAAACTAAAAAGTCAAATCAAACTTTATTTTGCATAACACATTTTGTGCAACCCAATGTGTCTTCCAACAGGAACAAAAGTAAGATTAAAAATGCATAAAATTGCTCATGCACACACACGAACAAACTGTATAAAGAGCAGAATCATAAAAGTACAAATACATAATACACAAACAAGAACAGATAAATCACATGTTTGCAGTTTTAACGACTTCTCAAAATTAACAACACTGGGAGAATCTCTCAGATTTAGTGTTCATTCTATTTCACTGGAGCCCAAATACAGAAGACAGCTTTCCCTGGCTTGGATAAGGTACGAAATAAGACAGTTGCCAAGCTCTGCCGACCTGAGTGATAGAAGTCTTATAGAACTTGTTAACATGTTTCTTATACACCGAGGGGCAAGACCATTTGATATTATATACATAAGTTGTTAGATTTTAAAATTAATTCTGCTTTCAGTGGGTAGCCAGTGCAGAAATCTAAGGTGATTCTGAAATGTCTGTACACAGCACATTTTGGGAGGCTAATCAGATCATAATTTTTTATAAAATTAACTTTTGAAATTTTCCTGAAACGACAAGACGCTTCAAACCAAATAATATTTTCTGTTTATCTTGGCTGAGTTGCAAGAAGTTGGGTGACCTCCGTATGTATTGATATCAATACACTGAGTAAAGGAGTTCAGAGGTTCTGCATTAACAAAAAATAAGAAAACTGTAAAACATCTGCACAGTGGAGGACACGGTTCCGCTAAACTGCTAATAGTGAACTACCGGTAACTTTACGTTTAACAGATTAGCATTTTTGTTAAATTTGAAAACCTTGAGCAGAATTAGCTTAATTTAAATATGAAGTCGGTAAATTCAGGTCAGCTAATTTTCAGTTATCCACATTGAAATAAAGGAGAAAGGTGATTTGCATAGACCAGTGCTATGCTATGCAAATCTAAGCAAAGCTCAACACCACCAAGTGATGTCTCCAACCTCGCAGTGCTCCCCCCTCATATTTAATGCAGTCTCTGACTTGAGAAAGAGATCTGTGATCTCAATGGGATTTGCCTGGTTAAATAAAAGTTAATAAAATAGTTTTACAGTGAAGGGGCTCATCTGATGGGAAGAGGGAGATCGTCTACAGCAGCTACAGAAAAAGCTCTGTCCCCTCTGAGCCTCCATTTGGACCTCAGCACCTCCAGGAGCAGCTGATCAGCTGACCTGAGGCACTGAGCAGGAGAGTACAGGTGAAGCAGTGCAGAGAGGTAGAATGGGGCAAGACCATTAAAAACAAATAAAATAATCTTAAAATGAACTCTAAAATGAACTGGCAGCCAGTGGAGAGAAGCCAGAGTGGGAGTGATGTGCTGCCTCTCGTGAACTCCAGTTAAAAGCTGAGCAACAGTGTTCTGGACCAACTGGAGACGTCTGAGGGAGGACTGGCTGATGCCAAGGTAAAGAGTGTTACAGTAATCTAGCCGAGATGTGACCAAGGCATGGATTACTGTTTCCAGCTGTTGTTTTGTGAGGACAGACTTTACCTTAGCCAGCTGTTTTAGGTGATAAAAACTGGCCTAGACCACTGCTTCAATCTGAGATTCTAATTTAAAATCCCTGACCATTTCCAAACCTAGATTAGAAACACTTCTCTTTACATGCGGTTCCAGGGACCCAGATCAACTGTGGAAAGTTCACAGGAGCCAATGGGACCAAACACATCGGTTTTCTTTTCATTAAAATTCAAAAAGTTTAAGGACATCCAGGTTTTGATGTCTTCAAGACACAACAGAAGTGGCCTAATTGAGAGGGTATCTTTCTTTTTAGCAGCATATAAATCTAACTATCATCAGCATTGCAGTGAAAAATTATACCATGCTTTCTGAGGATTAAACCCAAAGGATGCAGGTAAAGTGAAAAAAGCAGGGGACCTAAGATAGAGTCCTGTGGAACCCCAAAAGACAGGAGCAGCAGAGGATTCAGAACCAGATATTTTGGCACACATGGTTCTGTCCGACAGACTGGACCTAAACGAGCTAAGTGCAGTTATCCTTAGTGCAGTTCCACAACAAGGTAAGAATGTGGAAAAAGCCGTGCCTTAGTGCAGTTCCACAGATACCCATTTGGTGCTGTAAACGTGAAACTAAGATGTTGTGGTCTATTGTATAGAAAGCAGCGGTTAGGTCGAGCAGGACAAGAACCACATGTTCACCAGAATCGTTAGCCATAAGAATGTTGTAAAACACTTTTAACTAGAGCTGATTCTGTGCTGAGTTTTGAAACCAGACTGGAAAACCTCCAGGAACAAGTGCTTGAACAAGTTTACTCAGTGCAGTTTCTGTACTGCGATGACACCAAAAACCAGACTGATGAAAGACACTGCTAGGTTGAAGAAATGGTCAATCTGAGACAGGCCCAAAATTCGACATGACTGTTTTAACTGGGCTGCTTTTTTAAAGGAGTTTTGACGACAGTTTAATGGAGTGCATTGGGGAAAATTCCTGACAGAAGACAACAGTATACAATTTTTAAAACTGCAGCAGAGTATGAGAATACATATAATAATAATAATAATAAGTGCTATGTGTTGTCGTCATTGTATGTTCCCATACAATGGTGAAATTAGTTATCTGCATTTAACCCACCACACCTGGGATACACTCAGGTTGAGCAGTGGGCAGCTATGCAAGCGCCCGGGAGCAATAAGGGATTTGGTGTCTTGCTCAGAGACACCACGACATGTAGGAATGGCTGGGGATAGAGCCTGGGACTTTCGGGTCCCGAGTCAGCTGCCCTGCCTCTACCCCATCTCGGGTCTGAGCAAATCAAATGCACAGCATGTATTTACAATATTCAAGGCAGAAAAATAAATCTGTGAAGGAGCTGTACAAAAGCAAAGGAGGGGGGCTTTAATCCCACATTTCCTGTACATCATGACTCATCACAGTCTGAGTGTTGAGAGACCCAGCCAGCTCACAGAGACCTGAAGGCCTTTGTGCTGTCCTACAGCACGGTGAGTCATTTGTTTCTGACTGGAAACTTTTAATATAATTTTCAAAATCTTGAGCTGCCTCTCACAACAATTGCATCTGAGAAAAATAAAATAGATTCCATTACTATCTATGAACAGCATCACTATCAGCAAGCCTCTCCTCTTCAGATTTTTTTTTTCATGTGAAACCAAGAACTTCAGGGAAAGTAATATTTGCTGGTAAAAGCTGACTAATGAACTGGCTGACCTAACTTTAAACATGCGTGACTCACAGAAAATGAACTCACTGTGGTCTGCTTCAATCAGATTGATGCACACTTTGTTTAAACATTACAGTAAGTAATCTAATTAATGCAGTGTGTTAGAATAAATTATTTAGCATATCTGGGGATTTTCTTTTTTAGATCAAATTAGGAGAGGCAAAGCAGCTAAAACAACCTGAATTCACAGTGAAGAAGATGATATGCTTATAAATTGTATTAATGTAGAGTGGAGCTTAAGAAAACCCAACAGATCGAACAAAGCATTGAACATCTGATGATGTCCGATGAGTGTTTATCTAAGTTACACACAGCAGTTGGATATTGATCCAGGTTCTACTTACTGTTATCCAGAGTGATTAGAAATATCCTCTGGATCATGTGGTTGACATTGAGTTGTTCACAAAGCTCCTGTCGTGAGCGGAAGGAGCGGCTAATCTCAGCCACAGAGTCATCGTTGTCATCAACGCTGTCCGAAACTGAGTTTTCTGACTCGGACTGGCTCTCTCCTGAGTCCTCCACTGTGCCGGCAGAAAAAAAGGAGGTGGGTGTATTGAGCATTAGCAGCAAATAAAGAAGGCAGTTTGGGTTTTTTTAAGCACCGATAGTGTGTTCAAATGTTTGGCCTTCCATTCAGATTATTTAGAAAATTAAAAAAAGCTACATTACTGTGTCATATTTAACTTTTTGTACATATCTGTGCATATTTAACTCTTGTAATCTATGCACAATTTTTCCTAAAAATAATAAAACTGCATTGTTATTTATAGCAATACAACTAACTATAACTGCAGTTGCTGAAGATGTTTAAACTGTAAAAAAGATAAAAGGTTGGTTTGGAGCCTGATGTTTAAGTTCTTTCAGAGCTAATACGGTAACACATAAAAAGGAAAAGATAACGTTCAATTGGGTAAAAAGACCCAGAAACTTTATAAAACTGTCTTTGGGAAATGTCAGCCAGTGATTTTTCAAGAGTTAACACATCCATGAGTCCCACTAACCAACTATGTAAAGATATCAAAATAAAGGTAAAATATATATTTAGGTGTAGCAGTTAAAAAGAACTGTAAAAATCAAAGCAAGATCTGAACGAAATCTGATCAAACTACATGATTATTGGGGGAAAAAAAAACAGCACAGCCACAGAGGAACGACAAAGAGATTTAACCAACAAAAATTGTTTGTAAACTTTAAATACTGAATAATTATCAGAAAAAGATCTGATCTGCAGCTGCATAAAATCAGTATTTAAACCAGGCAAGATAAGTTTTAGAAGATCATACTTGGACTTGGCAAACCCTAAAAGTGCACACCTTTGTGCACGTCACAATTACAGCTGGCACTGTTGCATTAAAGGCTCATTTTATGGATAATCGCTACAAAAGGTGAATTTTTGTTTTTTAACATTACAAAAAACAAATATGTTTATTGACAGATGCAACAATTACATCTATACAAGCAGTAAAAATGTAAGTGCATGAGTCTAACTGGAGTTTAAACTACTCACACAGTGGTTCGGCTGGTGGTTGTTGTGCTTTTTGGTCCGATGCAAACTGTTTGGCATCAGCCAGTGAACTGAAGAGGGCAGCGAAAGGGTTGCAGGAGATGTTTTGGTTGTTGTTGCCCTGGTCAGTCATCTCACTGGGGCTCAACACTCACTCCATCCAAGATCCCAGCCTCTAAAAGCAAAGCAGACACAGTAAAAAATAAAATGCACAAACACCTACGATGACGTGCAGACAGGTGAAGATGCACAGTACTGAATTTGTTATCTTGTCTCACGTGCTGGACTTACACTGCCGCCCGCTGAAAACAAAATAAACAGCTGAAAAATGTCTGCATTTTATCTCAACTTTAATCAAACTTACTGTGTGGCGTTTGTCTTACAACCCAACTGTACGTAAAAAGGTAAAATAACTCTCTGTATCGTTTTAATTTTTATAGAACTGAAATTTACATTTGAATAAAAAGCTGTTTGTGAAGGGTAATTTTTCACATTTTTTTATTTACTTTTTCAAGTTAAACTCTATTAGACCAGATGGAACAAATATATTTATCTCCTTTTTAGTCCTGGAGTGAAACATCTTTCACACTTTCAAGCCTACTTTTAACCTTGTCGAGTGGTAAATTAAAAGTAGAAAAGTCCATAATTTACAATAAATAATATTAAAAAATAATATTTTACAGAAGGGAAGAAACAAAGATGTATTACAGCTTTTCCATTTAAGTTAAGTTCCCACAAGTCATGTTTCAACCTGATCGCATCAGAAAATGATCATGGCTCGTCCTGTATTTCAGTGGTTCTCAACCCTGGTCCCTGAGGAACACCATTCTGCCTGTTTTAGTTGTTCCTCTGCTCCAACACGCCTGATTTGAATGAAAGGGTGAT